AGTAATACACGTGTGGGAAAAGTTCCCACCGATACAAAACGTATGAAACATAAGCGCAAAACCCAATACCATACAGCGTTTATGTAAGCGGTCATACGAATAGCCGCGGCCTCGGCGGTAGAATATGGATGTAGGCGAGCGTAAAGTAACGGATAAGGAGAGCGTAAAGTAACTCACAAATAGGCAGATGATGAATGCGCCAAAATTTACAGGCGAAGATCAATATTCAGCAAATACGGCAATGAACAGCGCCTCAACACGCTGAGAATTCAGATATATAAGAACGGACAAGATTTTGAGCGCCCATGACGTTAAATCCATGATACAGAAGCACCTTATAGCCCTGAGAACGTCCGATAGTGAGATAAGGATAAGTAGAATAACGATATATGAGCGATTCAAAACACGATTTGGTCATTCACAGAAGTGCTAACAGATGATTAGCATACTCGCGGGTTCAGCTCAAGCTACGTTGACAAAGAACAAGAAGAGTAGGAGGTCCAACAGGAAGAGACAGAACGAAATCTTATAGGAACGGATATAATAGAGGCACCATTCAAAGAGGGCTAGGATCGATATAGCAGGAAAATGCCTCCGTTGATCTCCACCTTCCCGCGCGCATGATATTTGTCGGGTGGAGTCCTGCTCGTATTGCCGTGGTCGCTGCTCCTCCTCTGAAGGAGTGCGTTGTGAGCTTCCTGTGCTGCAGACCAGCTTGGGTGAGGACTCCTTTGATACGGCGGGCGGCGGCATCCCTCGATGGCGCTTCGGAGGTTCTGCTAAAAATATAGTGGTCCGAATTTGGTGGAAGGAAGTTCTCGAAAACCCTCCAGAGTATGAGGGCTTCTCCCACTAGTCGGAATGCTACTTTTGCACCTTGGGCACCCTGATCCGTTTTTGACCTCCTTATATTCAGCCACCAAACGTCGTTGCCTTTCCGACATATGTCGGATCCACGGATTTCGCATAGCTCCCCCACCCTCAGAAAGGCAGCAAATGAGAGAAGGATCATTGCCGCTCCCGCTATTGCAGAAAAGGACTTCTTCTGCAGAGCCCAAGCAATCACGGTGTCCAAGTCCTTCTGAGTTGCCTTCTTTCTGTGCCTTGGAGGAGGTGTGGCTCGCTTCGCTCCACGCAATAAAGCGCGTAAGATCTCCTCATCTTCGGTCGGAAGGGGACCGAAGAAGTGCGCTAGCGCAGCCACATGACACCCTATGGATTTAAGCCTCTTCTTTTCGATCAAATGCGCTACATACACGTTTCTGAGCTTGGGTAAGGCTGAGAAAGGGGCGCCAAACTTCCGAACGAATTCCAGAAATTCTTTTTGCACTCTCCTATATATCTTTATGGTTCCTGGCGCCAGCGCGCTTTCGAAACAAGAATCAATCAACTGGGCAACTGTCCTCATGCCTGCCCCGACCGCGATCTCAGCAGTTTCCTCAGCCCTCATCCTCTTAGCATCGGTGCAGCGTTCTGAAAAAGGGGAAGACTAGCGACCGATACGAACAAGAGGAATGCTATATATGCGCTCTAACACCTAGAAAACCTCCCACCAGCTAGTTGGCTGAAACTAGCGGAATAACTCAT